TTGACAAAGGCGATTAGAAATTTAATTGGTAGCAATTGTTATTGACGCGAAGATACCAGTAGTAGATACTATACATTGTTAGAACGTCAGAAATTACACAAATGGAAATGGTTGAATAGTTTTTGAAGTATTTTGTTCGCACGGGTTGAAGATTTTAATGAAATACAGTACGTATTTAAAAATCAAATCAACTTATAAATAATTGTTGTATTGTATATTGCTTCTTAAGTTGTTGATTAGTTCTTATAAAATGATAGAAACTTTTATTTTTTATTAATATATTTATGTAACGTTGAGCTTTTCGAGTTAGTGCACTTTTACTCTTTGATAGCTGGGGAATTTCTGCAGAGTCCCACCCTTCTCACTGGCTAATTTAATTTAATTTAATAAATTAATTATTTGAAACCCTTTAAACTGTATAAGAACAAGAGATTTTATAAAGATATTGAATAAATTTTTTATAAATAAATTAAGTTTTAGAAAAATTTTAGCTACCTGTGAAAATAAAGATACTTGCGTGTTTATAGAGTGTAGAGTAAATTTTCGCTTAAGATATAGTTACAAAAACCAAATAGTGTTTGGAAAATTAACAATTAGTTGTGAAACAAAACGGTACCAACTTCAGTTGAGTGATCATATGCACAAATCTATATCAAGAATCTCCGTACAATATCAGTGAAAAAACTGAAGCCACACTTGCACCGTATAATGTAGAGAAAACTACAGTAACACTTGAACAAATTAAACGAAGATATTATTAGAAAACCAATTTATAAGGGAAAAAATAAAATGAATACTATGTAGTGTTAATATTCCAATTTGTCATCCATATTCATTTCTGATCAATTTTCTGGGAGATTTTTGACATTAAATATTTAATATAATTCCAAAAACATTTTTATATCTAATTATAATTTGCTCACTACCTATGCGTTTCTGTGGTTCTTGTCTATCCAAAATTTACTTAAATACCATTAATCCATCGTATCCTTAGGTTGTGTGTTTTATAAATTTTCTCTGCTTTTGTTATATGCCCATTGCTGTGGTTTGACACATATAATGATATCTTCGTCATTATATGGTAATTTGCAAATCATCATTGTCACGCTAATAGACGTTGTCATCAGTTACTTTTTGAAGTCTGAATATTTTTCACCGGAATTTGTTTCATATACACTTGTTAGTCTCCATTTTTCATGACAACTGTTCTATATATATATATATTGAGTTCACTTTTTTCCTGATAACAGTTTCGATTTGTAGATGTCTAAGTGATCAGAGTGTGCCTTATTTTCAGTTGCTATTCTATTTTAGGAGCACTCGACAATACTGCTGTCATTGTTAGCAAAACGTCAAGATATGGAAATTTCAAACACATGTAGTCACAAATGTTTATATTGTTTATAAGCCATACAATATATTAAGTTTTTATATTTTATTATCGTTTATTTTTAATCCAATTACTTTTGTTTTAATTACAAAGTAATTATTTTAAAACCAATTTCCATTTTCTATGTATTAGGCATTAGGCAATTACTTTAGTATATTATGTTAATATTTTTTTACTTTTAAACTATATATTTTACTATTACTATTTATTATTAATAATAAGATATATCCCTGCAACTGCATTTTCATTAAAAATTTATGTGTACATATATATATAAGAATGAAATACTCTTTCGTAAGATCTTTGGTCTTCTACGAGTTAGCGACGACTACCGCATCCGAAAGGACCACAAGTTTTATGAGCTCTATTACGACATTGATATAATTCAGAAAATTAACATCCAGCGACTTCGCCGGCTTAATTATGTCGTGAGAATGGATGATGATGCTTCAGCGAAAAAGGTGTTTAAAGCAAAAGTTAGAGGAAAAGAACATATATAAAAACATATATACATATATATGCGATCTCGATAACTATTTTGAGAGTTAAGAAATTAAAACAAACTGATATATAATAAATAATTTGTGAAAAATTAAAGATATACATCGAATGTATATGAAAAACATTAACTAAAATATTCGAACACATAATGTACATACATAGTTGTGTTTCCTGTATATTAAAATGATATTATACTATGTTTACTATGTGTACATTATAAAATTGTTTTAAAAAATATATTTATGATTAAAGAACTCATTTTACTCTTCTGTTTGCCACATGTGAGTTTATAAAACATATTCGTTCCGCAACAAACGCCGCATTGTATTATGTATAACTAATGTTTCGCTGTAATGTATACCCAGAGTGATGGTCAATCTGATACAATGAACTCGAACAAATTGCAAAAAAAATTTATTGTGCCAATAAATGAAGCTTGCACATATAAATTTAGGGCAATACGGCCAGCTCAATGGCTCAGAAATATGAGCAATGGCATTAATACTTAGAAGCTTGAGTTGAGAAAAGAGAAACCTTAGACAAATTCAAAGAGATATCAAGGTCAGCACTCTTAATAACTTTATCAAATGAATTTTACACGGAAAGAATTAAGTGCAAATTGGCAATTACACTGCGTTCGAATTTGTGCCAATTTCTCACTTTCCTTTAAGTATTTTTTAGGTCAACCGCCCACACGAAAATGAACGCACACAAGAAGATCTCAGCTTTTGCCCAAATAAAATTTATTCACACATGTCGTTGTGTTCGCTGTGTTCGCTCTGCTCGATCATGCATGCAAAGGCGGTAAAGCTTAAAGCAACAACATTAACTTTATTGGCTTTTTTTAGTTTTTTTTAGTTTCTAATTTTGTGGGAATATTGGCAACCCAGTCAACACATATGTACGTCAAATTTCAGTACAAGAGTAAAACGGGAAATGTATTAGAGGAAGAAAGATCATTAATGCTTTAATGATCAATTGGCCATTCTTAGAAGGTCCCATGCTTTGTAATTCAAATTGATTATACTAAGAAATTCTTTAATTTCTTTCAATTTAGCACATGAATTTACATAAAAAATTTCATAAAGAGGTTTTTCGAACAGTAGTGAACTACAACAACAAAAATTTATTTTATATTATTTTAATTAATTGAATTTTTGGCTGACCATACAGTTGCTTCGAGTATTGCCAAATACCCATCATCAGTGGTCTTGGAAATAATTCTTGTATTTGATTGTATTTAACCACGAATTGAATTTGTGTCCTGCTAAATTTTAATCTCAGAGTCAGCGCACCTTAACCAACTGACCCAAAGCCGTACTTGACTTTTAAATTCGCACATTTTTCTTTAATTTTGTTACTTTGCTGCGAAAGTTTTATTAACAAATTCACTTACTGTGTAATATTTCTAAAATTAAAGATTTAAAAACAATCTACAAATTATTCCACACTTTCTGATGTCGTATAATAGATAAAAGTAATAACAAATTCTTTAAATATTATTTTAAATACAATTATTTTGAAGAAACATATTCAAACAGTTTCTCAAATACAATTCATCAGTAGTTCAACACAAACTTTAACCATTTTTTTATATAAAAGTTTGGAACCAGTTAAATCCTTGTACCATCAGCTCCTGTTAGACTCCGTAACAAATTTTAAACTGATTTAAATGATGTTACTTGAACTCTGCACTTCGATTAATAAGTATCCTGTCTTTCCTTAATAAATGCTATGAGGATGTAATCCTATCACAGTTCATTCTTAGTAGGTTAAAGAGTTACACTGAAGTTTTTTGCGCTTTGCACTTGCCGAAATAAGTGATAAGTATTAGTTTGTAAATAATACGAATAAAATTTAATTAATGAATTGCATGATATGAGAACAAACTCTTAATTTTATATTGCAATTTTTCAAGGTATATTGATTCAAAGTAATACCCTCTCTAAAGGCGGTTATCTATTTTATTCCTTTTTGCAAAACATTTCATTTGCTAATAATTAGTTTGAACTTCATAACCCACATACAAACTTTAAACCTTACAAGTGAAATGCAAAAATGTTTGCTAATTAATGCTAATGCTAAACTTTAGAAATAAGAAAATACTTATGTATAGGATCATTTAAATTAAGCACAGAAAAGCTATTAAATACTAAGTATGGTAGGTACTTAAACGAAATTTATTCTAGCAGGGATTATAATTTATCTGAGTTCTAATGCAATTTCCAGAATATTTTCATAATAAAATGAGTGATGTCGATAATAAATACGTTTTAGTTTAAACTCGAGAGAAAGTACATTATCAAAATATATTCTATACAATCTTAGAAAAAATGTTTAACTTCATTTACTTAAGAATTTATTATTGTTATTCATGTAATATATATGTTTATGTGAATATGAATATTTATTTTAATATTTAATTTATAATAAAATATTTAATATTTTAATACATAATTAATATAAATAAATATTTATATTAATAAAACAAGCCCCTTCACCCCATTCATGCACATGCATATGCATATCATATATGCATATCATATCATATGCAGCATATGTACCAAATTGCCAGCTAACAGCATTATAAAAAAAAATAAATTTTTTTAAAAAATTATAGGAAAGGTTCTTATAGTATTATAATAGCATATACATATTTTCAAGATGTTCAAGATGTTCGAGTATTCGTTTCTTCAATTTATCGGAATTCATTAAGCATTCTTCTACATATACTTGTAGAATGTAGCTTATTTATATGACTTTCATAATAAGTAACCTTTCATTAATTGTTGGAATTATTGATTTTTATTACGTTTTGGGCTGAAAAACACTGGCTTATACCATCTATGAATATTTTTAATTTATATCCGAATAAAAAATAATGTCCGTAAAATCTAGACTTGAAATTAAAACCTTAAAAATCTTCAATCTAAACACGGCGAACTCTGTTGCAATTTTCTACCCATTATTTAAACAACAATTATGTTATGTATTAAGAATGCTTAAAATAAACTAAATCTAATTTGAAAATATTTATAATTTTAAAATTTACTTTATAGAATCTGTAAAATTTCATAAAAATGCAAGTATTCACATTTTATTCACTTACCGCTAAAAATCGGTTAACCGTGAAAATGTTCCGAGCAGGTTGTGTGTACTCCATGTTAAGCGCCCGTTTCTCCTCAGTCTGTGTTATAAATTTAGTTTGTGTGAAATTAAGTTGCCAGTATGCGCTTATTTATTATTTATTATTTATTATTTATTATTACGTTTCGAATACATAAAAGAAAATTTTTTAACAGTTTTAATTACTAACAAACGCTTAAATTAGCTCGTGTTCGTGCGTATGTGTACGCGTTCTTAACTTTCTTCCGGTGAACCCTTAAACTAGAGGTCAAGTGAAATAAGTTAAAAATGTGATTACGAAAATAGATTAAAAATATTTCAACAAAAGCGCATAACATAAAACGTGAACGTGAACGTGAACGTAAACGTAAACATCAAAGCGTTAACTTAATATATGGTTTTTATTTAAAACCAAGTTCGCACACTCACTTTTTATCATTCGCATTAATTTCACGCTTGTCGCGACACTTTTGCTGCAACATAAAGATAATGAAACTAACTAACAGCACACTTGATCACAGCTAACTGCTCCACTTACAGAGATGTGTGTGTGACAGTAACAAAGAGAACAAGATTAAATGCAATTGCTTCAGCGCAGCAAAAAAAAACTATAACCTTTATGCAACAAAAAGGAAAACAACAATAATAGTTAGTAAGGCTCTGCTTGCAGCACAATTTGCAGCAGCAGCAGCAGCAATAAGAACAGCACATTTAAACAAACGAAAGCCCACGGGCAAACCCCGCAAATCAAAAGACTTAAACAACAAACTTAACAGACTTAACATTTGGTTTCGGAAAAATGTATGCACCACAAGTATAACAACAAACAACAAACAAACAACAACAACAATATAAAAACTGTAAAGATCGTCTACGTACGGTGTTGTTGTTATATTTTAAAAGTAATTCAGCTGCGTGAATAGTGCATTCAGAAGGAAAATGCATTTAACTTTAAAATTTAAACTTGTTCGTTCATCAACGAAACTTCTTAACAGAAATGCCTATTTTAATATGGAAACTTGTCACAGCGACGCAGTCAACAGTCAGCAGTTAGCAGTTAGCGGCTCTGCCACTACAGTGCCAATATATGGTCATTTTCCCCGAATATATTTCTTTGTGCTGCTGCGCTGTGTGTCGCGAAGTACTGAAATTTTTGAAACTGGAGCACAAGAATGAGTGTTCGTCGTAATCGCATAGAGCTCAAGCATAAAAAATGAATTGAAATGGTTTTTATTGCAGTTGGTGTCGCATAAGTACTAACATTTATTATATTTTATTATAGAACCGTTATACGCTGCGGTTATAAACTTTTGTTAGTCGAAATGAGAATGAAGAAGATATTTTAAGCCCATGAACGTTAGACCTGCTTCACATTCTATTCTATTTGTTGTAGTTACAATTTAAAAGAAAAAAAGCACAAACTGTTACCATAAAAAATGTATCGATAAGTTTCCTTAAAATGAAAGCGAACTAAAACTTACACTTAACCATTTAAACCATTTAAATAAGTTTTGTAAGTTACAACATGCTGTAAATACTGAATACTTTCTATGGAAATGCCCATGTCTGACTTGATTAAAACAATTCCGCTGTGAAAACTTATGAACATACTTCCGATACAACCAGCTATAAATTTAAAAAGAAATACTCTCCTTTATCAACTAGATCTAAATTTCATCTTAAATCTTAACTTCGGATATGTGAAAAAGACACTTATGCGCTTTTAGAACAGAACAGTAAGCTCTGCCTTAATTTTTTATTCGTTGTTTTTTGGTTATTATTTTGTTATTATATTACTATATTATTTTATAGTATTATATTGTAAATTTTTGTTTTACAATAAACTGACCAATTCAGAATTACAATAACGAGTAATGATTAAGAGCGAAACAAGTACCAACAGAACTGAAGATTTGTGATAAACTTAAATTTCCACACAATCCGCAAATTTCCACACAACATTGTGATGAGATTCATCGACTGGTAACAGCAACGCATCAGTCAAGGGAATAACGAATGAACACATGGCGAAAATATGAAGTCGGAACCTTTTAAGTTATGTCGCATAGAGTTATACTGAACATTACTGTACTGAGTTATACTTAGACTTGAGAATTTTGTCAAGAGTTTAGAAACCTTCATCAACTATTACAAAGGCATCACTGAAATCCGCATTTCTTTGCTGTTTAAGCACAAAAATTTAATATGTTAAAATTATTCAAAATACCTCATCCTGCTTTAAGACGGTCTACAACTAACAATTTTTTTTAACTATCTAATTAAACTTTACAATTAAATCAAATTTACATGCAAATCTGTACAAACAACTGAAAATCTTTAATTGTTTTTAATGTAAATTCATTCTATATAGATTGGATTATAAGTGTGGACAAATAGTTTAAAATATGACTGTAGTCCTTATTGCTAAATATTATATGTAAATAATATTAAAGCACTCATATTTCTCAAGAATATTTGTTCTTCTTAAGATTAGGTAAACATACGTAAATTTCTTGAAGTTTTTATGCAATATATCCTATAGTTTAATGATTAAAAGATAAAGAATTCTTTAACTATGTCATGTCACATCGTCAAACATAAATTTAATGAAAAAAGATTGGCTTAAATTTATAAAAAATAAATTATTAATAAAAATATTTGAAACATTTTCAGTTATAGCACAATAAAGAAGTGATTATATCGAGATTATCATAAAACTAATCTCCAAACAGTTGTTATAACATTTGCATTGATTACAGCATGAATATCTGCGTATGCATCTTCTTTGGGAAGTTTAACTTCTAATTTTTTTTTGTACATGAAATAACCTTTGTACAGTATTTTAGTTAATTGTTGTATTTATCTATTTATGCTGATCCCTAAAAACCACAAAATTATGATTATTTGCATCAACTGACAAATTTCTTCCGCATAGAATATTTTCGTCTGAAAAAGAAATGCAAATTTCAGCTTAAAACCGCAAAGATACAAAGATACCAACTACAAATTTCTAAATGATCATTGCTGCGTTCATTGAAAGGTATGAAACCATGCATACTCGCATATAATATCTTAAGGTATTCAATCAAAAGCACACTTTAATAGTACTGCAAATAGTAGAAGATGAATACATTTAGCAGTAAGCGTTGAGCAACTGCAATCAGTTCCCACTTGGCCATCAATTGGCATAACCACTTTAAGTGCTTGCAACATACATAAGAACAAAGGAGCACAGTTAAAATTCATTGTTAGGCAATGTAGTACTTATTTTCAACTCCTTAAGATACTTTCAGCTGTTGGTCTATCGGTCGGTGGGTCGTACATTCTCCAAACCATAAGAAAGTATAAAAGGTAATAATAATAAAAAAAATCAATGTACTCGTACGAGGAATTGGCAAATGTACTTAAATAAAATTAGACAGATAAATAGACAAATCAGATGGACAGGCATGTTCATTTATAAAATACATATATGTATACAAGCAATATGCGCGAGTTGCTCCGTTATGTAGTCAATATGACCGATGAGTGCTATATGCGCCGCTGACTAGCGCTCAAGCAGCACTTACCAACAGCATTGACTCCAATTTACTGTATAGAATGTACAGCAAAAAATACTGCACATACTTAAGAGTGCTGCATAACTCTGAGTTTTGTTTGCTTATGCTTTTTTTTTAAATTTTTGCTTTGATCGAACAACGTCTTAAGTGTGGATCGTTCCTGACACAATTAGCAAAGTTCGAAATACAAATAAACTAATTAGCCTGTTAAATAAATTTAAGACTCCTTCCTGCTCTGCAGCAACGAACGTTTCAACAATTCAACGATTCAACGATTCAAAAACACAAAACTATTGTGCAATTACGATCGAATGGTAAATAATTAAAGGTTGGCCATGGGTTTGCCATACATGGAACGATGCGTTAAATACGATAGTCTCCATCCACACTGTCTCATGCAGTGCTATCGGTAAATGCAGTGAAGCTGTTAGAAATTCTTTGTCCATTGCAGCATCATGTTTACGCAAATATACCGTCTGAGTATATCTGCACATATGTATATTGTATGTGTTAAGTTAAATTAACATATCTACACAGCGCAGCGCATACTCATGGCGCAGTGGTATACTTGCGCTTATATGCACTTAACTTGGTGGATATGTGCACTACGTCAACTTGTTTGCTGATAAATTTACAGTTTGGAGAAATTCTATTCCTTTCATGGCCAGTGTACACTAGTCGATTATTTGTATTGTTTATTTTTAACTCCTTAATTTATTCAATATACAATATACATAAAACGAATATGAAATTTAAACTCTATGCAAGCGGTATAAGCTGTGTAAGCGGCTTTTTAATGTGTTTGACAAAAAGAAGTGCATCCACCCGTTTAGAAGGTTTTAGTTTTAGAAGAAACGCGAACACTTGCGAGAAGAAGAAATTCAAATTGTTTGACTATTTGACTATTTGACTATTTGCGCTTTTGTTCACAAATCTTTTCGCTGGTGAATTGTTGTTAAAAGACCAAACAAACAAAATCAAGCATTTTCATTTTATACAAATATAATATTATTTCTTAATGTCACTCACACTGTTTAACACTGTTTAACGTTCAAACACAATTTTATGACTTTCAACGCATACGAATTTGATAGTTTGATATAACGATTAAATTTATTAAATACAATTAAAACGATTAATAAAATATATATTAAACGATCGTTTTTGCCGTTGTAATTTTTGCAAAATATTGCGCAAGGCACAACCGATCGATACAATGGTCAGCAACAAACTGAAGAGGAGCAGACTTTCAACGGACTTAAGAACTGTGGCAGTGTACTGATGCAGATTGCTACAGCAGCAACCAAATTCAACAAAGCTAAGCCCAATCATCATACCAAACCACGCTGAGGCAAAGCAAAACGCAACAACAGTAGCCACGAACAACACAAACAGCACAAAGCTAAGAAGTATGCGCAAAGAGTAAAAGCAAGAAATTCAAAGTCAAAGCCAAAGCCAAAGTCAAAGAAAACACACAGTAGACAAAACACAACATGCAGACCCACCACACGGTCAAATATTTTACCACGGCAGCAGCCGCCAGCCAAGTCATAGTCGAAGACCATGTAAATGGAAACTAAAGTCAAACCAAAGCAAAGCAAAGTCAAATGCAAACACAATTGGCAGTGATGGCACACACAACAAGAATTCAAATCAGCAGAAGAAATGTGTGTTTCTTTTTCCGAGCAACTCTCCACTTAAGTAAAAATTTGACACGACGAGTGTTGAATTGCAAGCAGCGATCGAAAGAAGCAGCATACAAAATGCCAATACTTGCATACTTATCTAAACATGACATGAATACGCAGGCTCTAAGTGTAGACCATAGGGATGGATGTGTAAAAAAAATATAAGGCGATATTTTGCAAATAACCAATATTCAAAACTATTTATTTTAAATAACAGCATTATGTATAAATAAATATTTTAATTTTTTTTGAAAGTATTGTATTATTCGAAAATTGAAGTAAAATTATTTTTAAAATTAAAAATTTTTATTTTTTTGTCGTTTCCAGGGAAAAAATAATTAATTTAAAGCCTTTACTAGCTTTAATTTAAAATTTGAAACCTTGTACTTTGGTGATACCAGAATCTTTTATATGTTGTGCTACTATTAACTACATCGTCCATTATATTCAGCAGATTTTATCTTCCGAGAGTGTTTCTTGTTTCCAAGCAAGAAGGAAGTAATTTATGCTAAATCAAACTAATACTTAATGACATACTTCAGCATATTCAATAACTTTGAAGGGCTGAGATAATAACATTGGACTAAGTGGATTGAGTTAAAAGGTGTCAGCGTTGGCAAAAACGATGAGACCGAACACCTACTTGATAACCTTCACCAATCCGATGATTTTGAGTTCTAAAAAGTATAAAAAACATTGGATAAGGTATGTATATTGAGACTACGTTAAACAACAGAATGTTTTTTACATTGCATTGAAATTTAAAACCGCTCTCGAATATCGTTATAATTAAGTTTTCGCTTCTGTATATATCAAAATTTATTGCTTTATTTGTAATTTTTATATGATTCTATTAAATGACATGGAAACCAATACAAACTACCATATCTTCGTTGTTATAAATTTCTCACAATCTTTTAAAAATATTTGAAGAAAATTTTGATGAAAATTATAGACAATACACCAATTATTGGAGGACTGATCTGAAGAAGGCGTACATATATGGAAAAACAAATTAAGTATAAGAACTACCTCTTATCCATAAGCTATACTTCATTCGTACATATATTTAAAAAAAAAAAAATATTTTAAGAAAAACCAAACTTCCTTAATGCACAAAAAAAAAATGTCTTTAAAAAGTCGCTGAAACATTTATTAAATATTTAAATGCTAAATGTAGTCAAAACCAAAAACACGAAATTATATACTTCATATCAAGTATGGGACGAGATATTGAAATGGCAGTATATACTCAAATTAATTGAATAATTTATTTGCAAATTTATTCTTAATGGAGTTAAAATTTCGTAATAGTCTCTTAATCAAAAATGATTTAACAGCTGCTTTTTTTAACTATGGTTTAAACCACTATAATATCCGAATTTTAATTTAATAAAAAGGGATCATTTCAGAGAATGTACATAATTTAACTCGTTATTTAATGTGAAATTTTTAAATTCGTCAATGTCTGAGAAAACATATTTTTTGAATTTTTTTAACAATCAAAACTACATACATATTAAGATATTTGACAAGAAATAAAATTTTGGATTGATTCAATAATAGAAGCAATTATAGTGGCTATATAGATAATAGAATTCGGAGTAAAGAGTAAATTAAATAATTTTATATACACTAAAAAGCTCTTAATCAAAAATTAACAATTTGATTGTTTTAAAAGGAGAATCAAAACCCACATAATAGAAAGATAGTGTTACAGATACAGTCCTTTTCAGCATCACGACGCATCTCTAGTTCCTAATATATGTCGCAACTGTTTCCGAATCCATAATTTCCGAATGATGCCAAATTGTATTAAACCAGTTCTAATCCTCTTAAGCTTAGAATCAGAGCCATTCCATTTTTCTTATTTCATTCGAATATTCGAAACACAATTTTCGCGTCAAGGTGCATCCACACCAAAGCGAACGAACGAACTTTTATAGGTCCGATTACTTGCACTATATTTTTAGTTTAGGACTTGCCATTTTACAATATAGAATGTATAATAACCGTCAACAAGTAAAAATTATTTTACTATAAAATGATATTTTTGTAGTAAATATATTTCGCATCATTTTTTTTTTCAATAATGGGGAAAATTTTTGCACGGTAAATATGTCAAACTTATTATATCTGAGACAGTAAACATCCATAAGGAACAGTTGAAATATATCATTGCATCCACAAAAAAATCACTCAGTGATGTGACATTTAGTCTGGAAATTTTTGACAAAGATTATCAGTTTTGTTAAATTGTGTAAAATTGAAGATAAGAATGTAGAAGATATGTGCTTTCAACAGAAGGTTTAAAAAATTACACAATATGCCCTGTTTGGCTTTATTGGTCACGGAATCTCTGAGACATGTAATTTCTTCTATGGGTGACGTGAATTGGCCATGATCCTTATTACTATCTATTGGACTTTTTTATGAGGTTACGCAGATTATAATCTGCGTATATAATTATATGCATATAATCCGTATAGTTTTGTAAACGAACATCTGTAGTCGTTAAGTTACAACCTATTTATTGCTAACTACGTACCCAAAAGTCATTTAAAATTACATCAAAAGGATCCCATATTGTGAGTTGTTCCATGAAAGATATTCAAATAAGTTTGTATTATACACTTAACTACTTGCAAAGCCTAACAAAAATATTGAAAATTATATCAACATCTAAATCAAAAGTTTATTCCATTTTCGTTCACTTTCTGACCCCCAAAATGGATAATCCCGTGTAAATATAAGATATTATAAATTTGCCAAAAAGTACATTATTATTGTTTTTTATTTATTTTTAACTATTAAAAAAGTATCAAAGTTTTGTTAATAATAGGTAAATATACTTTATGGTGCCAATTTTTAATCTAAATTAAATAATTATTTATGCTTCAAGTCAAGTTTAATTTATTTTTTATGAACTTAGAGTCATTTTGACTGTCAGACTTAATTACTCTAATAAATGATGTTTATGACTTATTATCAAATATTTGTTATTAAATAAATTTCTTAAATTACTTTATTTTTTTTTTTTAACTAAAAAACTATAAATACAAACATTTTTATTTAATAGCTGCAATATGGGTTATATAAGAAAGAAACTAATATATAACAATTAAATTCTAATTGTTGAGGCAAAATTGATCTAAAGATCATTTGTATTATCAACAAATTTGTTCAATTTTCAATTAGATTTTTTAAATAGTTTTACTGCCCATTAATTTATTTCGTTCAATCTATGAAACCGAAACCGTATTTAATGGTAAGTGTATGAAGAGACCTGCTGCATTCAATTAATGCATGTCGCATATCTCCAAATTCATATTTTACTTTTACTATTTAACATAACAAAAGCATATTTTAGTGAAAAAGCAATTGGAATTGAAAAATACCAACCCATTTTTAACAAATTTACAAAAGAATTAAAGAAAATATACGTATTACACACAGTGAAAACCAAAAGTAACACAATTACTCTGCAACGGAAATACATTTGTAACCCACTGGCTTATCAATGCCAGTCCTGTCCTTACCACACCATCGGCTCCACTCTCTCTCTGACTAATGCAGTCCACAATACCCTTTATAGCTGGACCACAATCAGTTTTAGTGTTTCGCTTCTTTGCGAGCCTCCAATCGGATTGAACGATTGAACTACACGTGCCGCATTTGCATTTCACTCCGGGAATCGGCTACTCTACCCGCTGGCTGCGGTCAGCTGCCAACATCGCAAAGTGCCATGCCACTCTGCGGAGGCAAGTGCCACAATAAGCTGCAAACACTGGATATAATGGATATAATTTACTTACGAATGAAATCTAACCGCATTAAACAAAACATTTTAGTAAAATACAAAAATATGAAATGTTAAAAAGTAAAAGAAAAATATTTCAAACTTTCGTTCACTTGATTTTTACAATCAATGATCGCCACCGAAATGAAAGTCTAAAAAATGAATTTGCTTTAGTGTTTGGCATTAAAAATTTGGTTTCTTTCGGTTTCAATTTCTTGAAGCTTTGCTGCGACTTACAGTTCCTATTCACATACTAATATATTTGCGTTTTACTTATTTAATGGGGTTTTTTCAGCAATGAACGTATATGCCAATAAACACTGATTCGCCACTGTCTCTTCTATCTCTTATACGACGAATCGACAAACATTAACCAAAAAAATCCGCGTTTGCGAAAGCTGCACAAGAGTCAGAATACTTTTCCAACTGCATTCGCATCTGCAACTGCATCTGCATAAGTATCTCATGCTTAATGCAGAATATGATTTAAATCTCATAAATTTTGCTTAAGTGAAGTTGTGATGTTGTGAAGTTCGGAGGCTTGATATATATTTTAATATTTATTTCACAAATTAAAGTAACAGCAACGAATCGTGTATCTACGGATAAAAGGCATTATTTATTATACATGTTTTTAATTTTTTTATTATTTTTTTTTTGTTGTTTTTTGGTTTATAAACTTTCGCCATTTGTATTTGACCTTGCTACAAAGTCAAACGCATTGT